TAAAATGCGAAGCCCCGCCGGTGTCCAAAAGTACTGAGCTATCGCAGACGAGGGCAATGCTCCGCTTTCCGGATACGCTGTCAAGGCATGCCTACCTCTAAACTGATGGCTCCTAAATGAGGGAATTCTTACTTCGAACGCCGCAATTCTTTGGCGACACGAGTCACGCCGCAACTCGGAGTGGTATTAAAATAGCGACTTGCAATCGCCCTTGCTGCTTCGGTGTAGCTGGCATCGCCGATCAGCTTCTCGAGTGCATAGCCGATCGCATTCAGGTCGTAGACTGAGGCGTCGAGCCCGGCCCCGTTTTCGCGGATCCGACGGGCGGTTGCCGCTTGTTCGAGAGTCAGCGGGATCGTCAGCATCGGAGTTCCCGCAAGCAATAAGTCGCACGCAGCGACATGTCCGCCATTGAGCACCGCGACATCGCAGCTTTCCAAAAGAGGCTGCAGGTCGATCGGATTTGAATAGACCCTCACGCTGCTCCCCGACAGTGCATCGACACACGCCCTAGAGAGTCCGTAGACGTAGGCGATCGTTGTAATCCCCTTCATCGCGAGACCACGCAGCAGCGGCTCCGTGGAGGGCTCGTTGCGGAGGTAGACGAACACCCGCGGGCCCTGTGAGCTTTCGGGCCAGGCCGCGTGTGTTGCTGGCAACGTCCCAAAAGGCCGCACGTATTCTCCTTGTTCTCGATTGGGGTAATGGTCCAGCTCGGGCAGCGTCAGGAGGAGTTGGCTGTCGGCGTCGGCATACAGCTGAGCGACGTAGTTCAACGACCGGCCGCCGTGGGCTCCAAGCGCCGCGTTCATGCTGGTGAGTACCGCAGCCTCGACTTCAGCGGCCCAGTGGGGCTCGGTCACCTGTTCGTGGAGGCTCGGCAGCGGCGTAATGTCGGGCGGACAGGTGAACCCCGTGCCGAAGACGGTCGTGCGGACGCCGCGGATGCGGGCGGCGAGCATCGCTGTCGGGCTGTAGTCGGCTAGCAGGCGGTCAGGCCGCAACTCATCGATGATCCGCAGCCACTGGCCAACCGCCTCAGTAACCCTGGCCGGCAACGAGTAGCCGCAGTCGTGCAGGACGTCGCTGAACGTGCAGGGGGCTCGGAGCTGCTTCTCTGAGAAGGGCAGGCTTGGCGCGGGGATGAGGCCCACGCCAGAGCCGACGAACGCTTGCTCGCAGAGGGGGACGTTCGTCGTTGCGAGCGTAACGGCGTCGCCGCGCCGGACGAGTTCGGCGCCGACGGCCCGCAGGGGGCCGGCGTGGCCGAGGCCGCCCCCCATCTCCCAAGCGAAGAGGGCTTTTGGCATCGGTCACGGCTCCCGGTCGAGTTGCGGCCGTCTTAGCGGCGGATCGATCGTGTCCGTTCGGCGAACGGACACGATCGATCCGCAGCGGTACTCACCAGCGTGCCGGCCAAGATCGGTATCACGCCCGACGACGATAATCAGTTTCTGCCCCACGTGTGGAAGGCTGAAGACACAGCGGAGCCAGCATCAGGTGAGCCAGTATCGCGCGAGCGCAATCAGCTCGACGACTGGCGTCGAGAGTGGATTGCAAGAGCCTT